ATTTAAATGATAAAAAAAGTTAATTTATTTAAAATTTTAAATTTAAATAATAATATTTATTGAATATAAAGAAATTAAAAAAATTAAATAAATATTATCTTATAATTATTTTAAATTATTTAAAGAAATTTTCATTATCTTGATTCTATTATTATATATTTATTCATGTTGTAATATAAAGAGTTAACTATATATATCATCATTTAATTTTTTTCTGTCTTCTATTTTACTTACTAAATTTTAAAAATTTTAAATTTACTCACTAAACTTTCATATTACTTCTATTTTGGTCATCCCACCGTTTAAATTATAAACTCCATGATGGTATCAATTATTTTAATATTTTTAATTACGACATGGATTTTTTTAATATTTAATGTCAAACAAAATAAAATTAATCAAACCCTAATTCCAATCTTAAAGTTTAACCCAAAAACCACATCCCCAATTACAGTCGACCACCACCAAACCCCAAACTCTCATTAACCATACCCCCAATGTTTCTTCACCAGCAATTGTTTCTTCACCATAGTTATGCCTGCTATACATAGAACCAATTTGAATGTTACATGCAAAATTGCTCCAAATAAAGTGACGAAAAGGGATGAGAAAGGATGCAACTCTGGGCATGGTCGTCGATGGAGAATGGAAGCTAATGGGTGGGAGTGAAAGAATGAAGAAGAGACACAGTCATTATGAAAACAGAATAACATCAACAATTTCACCTGGATGATGATTTAACCACTCTGATGAAGGGTGTAAGCTCGCACATGACAGATCTTCTCTTCCATCGTCTCACGACTAACAACAAAAAATCAAAGGTTTCTCCGACTAGTTAAGAGCTGCACAACACTGCCATCTCACTACCCAGGCCCTTGCATGCGAACTATTGCCTTGAGCATTACAGCTGGAGAACCATTCTGCCAAAATATATCTTACCCAAAAACTAAAAATCGCGTGGCGTTTTGGCACAGACAAGCGTGATGATCGAAGTCTCGATCTATTCAAATTTATGAGAGAAAAGGGGATGAAAAGAAAATAAGAAAGGAGGAAAGAGGGGGGGGGGGGAATAGGCTTCACAGTGAGGAGATAAACGGGGGAGTTCAAACTGAGAGAGCGGGGTGGGGGGGGGAGGAAATGAAGAAACGGGGAATAAGCAGGAAATGAGAAAAATAAGAAAATAGATCTTTATCAGAAAACAAAAATGACGCCGTTTTGAGTTTAAATTAATTTTTGTCAGGAATTTAAAATGATATATTTTGGTGTAAATTATCATGTAATAACACTGTTAATTATTTAAAGGTAAAGTGACAAAAAATTTTAATCTTCAAAGTTCAGCTAAAAATTTAACTTCCTTGAGAAGTTTTTGGCCTCTTCACAAACTTCGCCAGAAAAATATTTTGTGAATTTAATTTAATTTTAGATAATAGATAAAATTCTATCAAATATCATATAATAATAATATTAATTTCAACATTCATTTTTTGGGTACATTGAGTAATATGATTACAACATAGCCTACAGTCTTAGAGTGGCTAATCCTCTAGCATCAGCTCGTAATAACTGAACAATTTCCTTCAGAGGGTTGGTAAGGACATGAGTTCCCTCTTCTCTTTCAAGAGCCATTTTAGCCAGACGATCGACTAATCTATTCCCTTCGCGCCAAGTATGACAGATCTTGATGACACGTCCTTCATTGCATATTTCCACGCAGTCTTTAACAAGAGCTTCTTCATGCAGGGCTTCGTTTCACCATTGATTAAAGCTTCCACGACCCATTTAACGTCAGCTTCAATTATCAATCTTTCCGCTCCCAAGGACTTTGCCAGGAATAGACCTTGCCTGGTTCCCAAAATTTCTGCAGCAGAGCAGCTAGTTTTCCCCATTTTTAGTAAGAAGTCACATTTCTAGTCTCCATTATTATCGCGGATTAAACCTCCTGCCGCTGCTAGAGGGGTGGTTGTGTTGCGTGATCCGTCCGAGTTGAGAATCCGTGCCCTTTCATGTGGTTTCATCCATCTCACCCAACGTGGTTCTCTGGTAACTTTGTTGTGAGTTGTGTCCATGGCTGTCATAATTTCTTCTGCTAGTTTTCGGCTGTGTTGAGTAATTTGGCTCGGAGTCCTGTTTCTGTTGTTGAAGGTTGCATCATTTATATTTTTCCATAAACCCCAATTAGTTATAGAGAATAGGGTACCTCAACTTATCCCATTTTCACAAACTTTGTTTGATCGACAGTTTCTTCTTAGCCAATCTTTGCAATCTCTAGTGTTAAATTGGTCGTCCTTATATCAAGCTTTCTCTCAAGATATGCTCAAGCGATTCAGTCGTGTTATGACATTCTTTGCAATTTGCGTCCTGCGTCATTTTCTTTTTGAATCTAATTTCATTGGTGTTCAATTTATTCAAGGAGCAAAGCCAGATGAAGAATCTGATCCGTTCAGTAGTCTCCAATTTCCAAATCCAATCGATTTTCTGTTACAGATGGTCCACCATTTCCCTCTTGAGAATGGCATGGAACGCTGATTTTACCATGAATTCACCATCCTTCGAGTGTCCCCAATACGCTTTGTCGATGATGTCCTGGCTGTTTCTTGTCGGAATTGGTTTACCATTTATTTGCTTCTCGGTTTCATCTGTTATTTGATCTTGGATTTCATGTAAGTCCCAAGTTTTCTCTTCCGTGATATAGTGAGCCACTTGCTCATTCCTATCACTAATACCAATTGCTGTATATTGATCCTTTAAAGGATAATCTCCCACCCACCAGTCATCAAAAACGAGTTTGCTCACCCGAACAAATTTGACGCTTTATGCTTTTTTTTAATGATGTTTCGTGTGTTCATGATACTCTTCCACGTACTCGAGCTGTTAACCTAAATTCTTGCCTCCATAAAATCTGCTTGTTTTAGGTACTTCTCTATAAACACTTTGCACCAGATCGAATCTTGTTTATTGTACATTCTCCAACTGTTATTTGCCATAAGCGCAAGGTTCGTCATTCTCACTTTTCATAGTCCTAAACCTCCTGTTGTTTTCGGATTGCACACTAAGTCCCAGCTCACCAAATGATTATGAGTATATTCGGTTCCTCCTCCCCATAGGAAATTTCGACTAAGACTATCCAATTTGTTGCAAGTTGCTGCCGGAATGAGTGTTGTTTGCATTTTATGAACCGAAATTGCTGCCGAAACTGCTTGGATTAAGGTTTTGCGACCAGCCATCAATAATACTCTCCTTTCCATCCCGACAGCCTCTTAATGATTTTATCAATAAGAGAGTAAGTATCAGAATTGACCCTTTTGTGTATGATCAGAACCCCAAGGTACACTCCTAGATATTCTGTTAGGGGAATACTGCTGAGATCACTAAGGTAGATTGCGGTGTCTCTGTTGATATTAGGGGATATGAACATTCTGGATTTTTGGAGATTGACTTCGAGGCCTGAAGCTTGATTAAACATGGTTAGGCATTCTCTCACACCAATCACCTGATCTGCATTTGCTTCGAAAAATAGGAGGAGGTCGTTTGCAAGAAATTAGTGACTGGTTTTTGATCCACCTATAGGCAGTTTTACCGCCTCCCATTGCCTGTTATCCTGTTTTTCCAAAATAACATGCGAGAGTTTTTCCATAACTAGAATGAATAGATAAGGTGAAAGAGGGTCTCCCTGTCTAAGTCCCTGGCTCGGTTGGAAGCTGTCGTTTGTCTCTTCGTTCCATAGAGGTTCAATGAAGCTATTTCTCACGCTTAACATGATAAGATTTATCGTCTCCTCCAGGAAATCAAAGTCCTGAAGAGTGTTATGAAGGAAGCGCCAATCCACTTTATCGTATGCTTTCTGCAAATCTATTTCCAAGATTATCGCTCCCTTCCTACCTTGACTGTTTGACAACGAATGAACGGCCTCCTGCACCAGAAGTATATTATTCGTAGTACTCCTACCAGCAAGAAAACTGTTTTGATACGGTCCCGCTATTCTTTGAAGTTCAGGTCTTAGACGCTGCACCAAAATTTGACATAATTTTGTATGATGTATTGAACAGGCTGATAGGTCTGAAAAGAGTTATCCTGTCGGCCGTATTAGTTTTAGGGATAAGAATTAGATAAACTTTGATAATTTCAATGTTGGTATTGCCATTGACGAACGCTAAACTCGCAAAACTTTGCAGGGTCTCTCTAACAATGTCCCAGTTTCTTTTGTAAAAGATTGGTTGGATACCGTCCGGCCCGGGGCTTTCAGGCCTTTCATGGAGAAGAGAGCCGATCGAACCTCCTCGATTGTCACTGGTTTCGTAAGCACTCTCTCTTTTCTTCTTCATTTATCATAGGTTTAAAGGTGTCGTAGGGACCATCAAGCTCGGTAATCTCCCTGCTTTCAAATAAGTTCCTATAATAATTTACTACATGATTGCATAGTCTGCTTGTTTGTACACCATTCATCATCAACCCAAAAGACCGATACTTCTGTTATTCTTGCGTCTAATGATCGTAGTGAGATGAAAAAACTGTGTTTCGCTCACCTTTCAAAACCCAATCAAGTATTGACTTTTGAAGATTAAATTTAATCTTATATTTAAATTAATTATTTAAACATCGTTTAAGTATTTAAACTCTAATTTAATTTATATTTGTTTATAATTAATTTAAATAGTTTATTTTTTTTTATTTTAACCGATTTATTTTTTTCAGATAAAACTTAAATCTAATTATAAATAAAACCTCTCTACTCTAACAATTTATTTATTAATATATTAATTATAACTATAATTTTTTTATCTAAAATTATAATAAAATACTCTATTACTTAACCCTCAAACAAATATTTTTTTAAAAATGTCACACAAAATTAATTATAATTAAAAGAGATCACAATTACAAAGCTTGGGCACAAAGGACCCAACATCAGGCTTGACATTAAACAAAAGCAGAAGGCTAAAATTTGACTAAATAAGCCTTTAACTATTTTACTGTATCTGTATCGTGTTCTTTAAACTGCTAAAACGAAACAATCAAAATCTCTCATTCTCTCTAAATTTTGTTTTTCGTAAAAGCAGGAGAAATAGAAAATGTCAAACTCGCAGTCGGATTCGAGCGTTTTCAGCGTTCGAATTGTGTCCATCGATCATTACATGGCACCGCCAATTCCCGACTTCGATATTTGCTACAGTAGCTTTCAAGGTACCGTTTCCTTTTCAATTTTTCTTTTTATTGCCGAATAATTCTAAAACTTTGTTCAGCTATTATTGTTTTTGAAAAGCTACAATTGCTGAATTTTTTGAAGGTGGAAAAGTTAATGAAGTTCCAGTTCTAAGAATTTATGGTTCGACACCGGCTGGTCAGAAGACTTGTTTGCATATTCATAGAGTAAGATTCTTGTTCTATTTTCTTTCTTGATTATTGGTTTGGGTTTGTAATTAATTAATAAAATTGCTGTCTTTTATGAATGGTCGTGGTGTTATTTGTTTTGTATTTGCATATATTATTAACTAAGCCTTTTAAGTACGAATGGGAACGAACCATTTGTAGTGCTTATTTGAGTTTGTTTAACTATAATTACTTCCTTTTTTTTTTTGAGGTCTTGATTGTTGCATTTTCCTTCTCCTAGGCTTTGCCTTATTTATATGTTCCATTGGCGGATTTGTTACCTCAGAGCACTCCTACACACCAGGAAGGTACTGAGCATGTTTGATACTCTTTTCATTTTGTCTATTGTATGGGTAATATTTGATTTAAATTGCACTCCTTATGTATTTTATAACAGATGATGCATGCACACATGCCTTAGCTATTGCCTTAGAAAAAGCCTTGAAGGTATGTTCAGTTAAATTCATGGAGTTGTGATTGTTGATTGTTGATTTTTACTTTTTTCCTTTTTTTCGATTGCTATGTTGCTGATTCAGTAGATATGGTGTGAATTTGTTTTGAATTGAATTTGCAGCTGAAAGGTGGTTCTGGTTCAAAACAGCAGCATGTCCATGGTTGCAGCCTTGTACGAGCAAAGAAATTTTATGGTTATCATTCATCCGAAGAGCTATTTGTGAAAATTCACCTGTATCCAAAGACTATATTATATTATTATCATTATTATTTTTGAAACAAAGAACATTTTGTATTCACAAGTTAGACTAGATATTGAGGACCTTGACATGATCAAAGCTACCATCCTCATGACGTCTCGTGCTGCCAATCTTCTTTTGGTAGGGAATTGTTAATGTTTTTCAGTGTGTTGTTAGCACAATCATTCATGGACTTCATATTTGCTTTGATTTAATGTTTTGGACTTTTTTTTCCGTTCTAAGACCTGGGCTGACCTGTAAGATTATTTTAGTCATAAGTGGTCTATCATGTTTAGCATACATCTTTTTGATCTAGGAATTTACTTAACAAACTCATAGGTCATTGGTTATGCTTTTTCAGGCAGGTGCTGTGTTGGATAAAATCTTACAGCCTCATGAATCACACATTCCATTTATTCTCCAGTTTCTTGTAAGTACTTTTATGTGGATGTTAGTACTGCAGTTAATCACTAATTACTTTTTCTCTATCATGTGCATGTGCGTCCATGCATGTACATATGTGTTGTGAACTTCCCTTTTGTTTGTCATACTCTACCATTCCACAAATCTGAGTCACAGATTGTGCTTTGTAATAGTTTGTTAAAATACCACTACAGGTAAATGTTTTTGTACCATTGCTTAACAAATTTAGGCATGCCATGTTATAGCAGAAGTTTGTGTTAAAAATGTTGTTATGGGGATGCTGGAAATCTATTTACCATACTTCATTACCTGCTTAGTTGAGGGCCTCTGTTGTATTTTCTATTGTCAAATTGGTTTATGCATTTTTTTAAATAGCCAGTAACTTAAATACAGTTTTCTAGTTCTCATTGATTGGGTACTCAGAAATGCAGTCATTGGGCTGAATGATTGTGAAAATTTTATGGTGGCATTTTTATCTTGAAAATAATCGCATTTTTTTCATTAAATGTTTCATACAAACCATTCTCCTTGGAATACTCAATCACACTACTTCCTCAATCCTGCATTTTTTAATGGTGTTTTCAAGATCTCATCTCAGCGCTTCCTTTCAGGTGGATTACAACTTATATGGAATGGGTTATCTTCATTTATTGAGAATGAAGTTCCGTAATCCCGTACCTGATCTTTTCCATCCAAGAAAATTTAATTGCCATGGTCAACATGGGCAGAAGAGGGAAGACTTCACATTGGATTCTAGTGGTTTTCAGGTTACTTCTGTGATCTGTCTTCCCACCCCATTTTGTTGTCTGATGCTTCATAAAGCCATGAATTTCGTTTCTTGCGTATAATCGTGTTCTCTTTTATGATATGTAATTGTAATTAGGTAGGTTCAAGTTATGATGTGTGCGTAAGTTCTCCTATTTGGATATCTTCCACAATTCCAGGTGAATGGATGTGGCACACTTCAAATGAACTTTATGCGCCGTCATACCAAGACATTGCATTGTTAAACGTCAGAGTATATGTGAACTTGAGGGAGATACTACTATAGATGGTTTGTATGACTTTCCTTTGCAGTGCTTGCAATATATACTCGTCATTTTGTATCTAAAATTGTTTGCTACCTTTACTTTTCAGACATTCTTAACCACCAATTCAAAATATATACATCTCTATCACAGACCTCATCCGATGTGAAAATGGTTCAGTCACTTATTCCAATTTGGGAGGTTTGAACTTTCCTATCTGTTAGCTGTTCTGTATTTGGATATTCTGTTCCTTTGTTAAACTTTACAATTGGAATTATAGGAGGAGTATAAAAGAACAGGGATGCATGAGACAGCTCTACTATCAGACCTTGACAAACCACTTCCTGAAGATGTTTTAAAAGCTCTCTCACTTGGTCTTGGATTTGACGACAAACTAATGGACCTGTGCTGCAAAGTTGAAGAACATTTGCCTCACAATGACTTGGGATTTGAGCACCCAGTCCTGCCTGCAGCCAATGAGCAAAATTTAGTCGGATATACACATATCAGTTCGAAGCAAGCTCTAAGTTGTTTGAAAGAACCCAACTTGCTAGGATCTCTGTCTCAACACTGTAAGCCACGGGAAAAGGAGATGGCTGCTGCATTATCTGAAGGCAAAGATGTCTGTCCTGTACTATTGTCTGTTGGTGGAGTACAATCATCAGAAACAGTGCTACCCTCTGACCCCAAGGTAGTTTTCATATATTGTGTTCTTCCTGAATGCTAGTGTCTCTTTACTCTTAATTGGCTTTCATTTCTTGACCATTTATATTTGTATGCTTTTGTAAGTATTGGCGATCTGTATTTGGGTCATCATCTGCTATATTTCTTTTGGGTAATAGAAGCAGCCAGTTGACTGCATTGATGGCTCTCCTACTTTCTCCCCATAGAGGCATTATGTTTTCGGTTTTTGGTGATGTAACTTTTACTATTTGAATGTGCAAATTTCAGTGGATGGAAAATTTTAGTTGCTGGTACAATGTTATAAATCAGGCTACATGCCTGATCTAAAGGAATTTGCTGGTAAAATTTTTGAAGTTATTGAAGCTGCTTACTTAGACTCCAGTTTCTTCTGCTTGTGCTATTAATTACAGGCTACAGATACAGAAGTTTTGGGACTTTTGAGGTGGCTTGCCGCTTCTCATGCTGCTGAAGATATAAACTCAGATGATGAGCTTGTTCGTGAGTCAATTCTGACTCCTCTGCTACCTGCAACAACCATTGATAAGGTGTTAGAGAAAGCCAGTATCGATTATGAGAGTGAATCACAGAAAGAATGTCAGGATATTCTTGATTCGGTTGAGGATTTAATCAGTTTTGAGGATCTGAAGGAAAGAACTTATCATTCTTTTGATCCTACCCAAGTCTCATCTGGCAAAAATATCCCCCAAACAGATGGGTCCAGCGATGATCTATCTCTATCTCCTTCTGCAGGATCAGTTTCAAATGCCTCAAAAAGAGACATAAAAGCTGAACATAAGAAGTCTTCCCAGGATGGTGGTAAAACATTTAGTAATAAGCAAAAAAGGAAAAATTCTTTATGGGGCTCTTTACCTCTTTCCGTGACAGAGAAGGAGCAGGGCAGCTTGGATAGTGTTGATCTCAACATTACTGAAACATGTGCAGATGAAATTAAAGAATATTTAGGCACAAGTTTCTCAGCTGAAAATAATTTTGGGAAAACTTCCAATCCTTTAAATATAAATTTACAGGCTAATGACTGCAATAAACAAGAAGCAAGCACGTTGGTTGAATGCTCTGTGCGGGACTTGATGAGGAAAAGAGAAGTCGCCGAACTGATCCCGCTGATTGTGGATCTGTTAGGAGCAAGAATGTTTATCCGACTAGGAAAAAGGAAGCACCTATTTTCATTTGCCCAAAACAATTAGATTTTCATGAGGTACATGATGACCTTGACAAGAAGGCCCCTAGTTCTCTCAACCATAGACCATCATTTACCAATAAACAAGAAGAACTTGCCCATTCTAATTCGACATATTGTATTCTACCCCAATTTTCTGACGTTTATAATCCATCAGAGGCTAGCACAGACCATCTTGAACATAAGGGAAAGATGTCAGCAGTGAAGCTTTACCTGAGAAGTGTGACTCGGCAATTTCTATTGGCCCTTGTGAAACCTATAATGATAAAAAGTTCGACTTTCAAGCAACTGCTGCAGAACCCATAATTTCTAATGCTTATGCTTCAGAATCCCATACAGAAATAGTTTCTCCTGATGAGAGAATGCAGCAAACAGGGGTTAGTGGATCTTGGTGTTTCTCTGCTTCATGTAAGTATGAAGTGCTAGGAATGGATAGTTACATTCTCAAAGATTACAACGCAAGTGGAACTTCCTTATCTGCTGACAAACTTGTGCTCGTGGATGCAGTGATTGACAAAAGCGATCTGCACAATGAAGATTGTGGTGGTGGACAACATGGTCGCAATACTGGCTTGGTTGTTGGCAGTGAGGAAAAAACTGTGGAGTTAATTGGCATGACCTTCTGCAAGAGACTCCTGCCAGCAGATTGGAATGAAGGAGCAACTGGAAATGTTCCACCTTTTAGAGAGGGAAATTATCATGTAACATCAGGTGCATTTTGTATTCTCTGAAATCTTGTACCTTAAAATTTCATAATGTTTTACCTTTGGTTAAAACCACTTCTCCTTAATATAAGCAATTATGCATCTTGTTTCTGTGCATCAAGAACCATTCCTGCCTCAAAAGGGGAAAAAAGAAACAGAAGAAGAAGGGACGGGGGAGTTTTTTTGTCTGTAAAGAAATCAGAAAAGCAGTTGTCTTGTATCATGTGGTTGTGGTTTATTGTTAAAACTTGTCAATAGGTCACTAGATGTGCAGCTTGTATTGGTCAGAATAGAGCTTATGATATTCTTGCCAATTTGCCGTCATCTGTGTATTTGTTTAAAAGAATTATATCTAAGGCCCTTAGGAAAAGCTATTGTTACAATGACTCCTTACGTTTATTGTTGACCAATTTGTGCGTGTATATTGTTGAAAAGGGAGAACTATGGATGAGATTCTCCCTTTTTTTTCACAGGACAGAGAAGAAGATAAGGAAAATCAGAACAATTTCGTTGGAAATAACAGCTGTAAATCTCAGGAAGCTGCCTTGGGTGTCCCTACTCACTATCAAAATGATGGGTCTTTATTGTACCAGTTAACGCCTGTATTCTCACCCCCTTCTGTGGATTCTGTGTATGGATGGATGTCATGTGTTGACAAAGGTATAGGCTAGATTTGTTCAAAGTGCTGCTTTATTTTCTACTTTTTTTCATTTTATTTTTCATGAATTTTGTTTCTGTATTTCTAGGAACTTCTAAACAGAGTAATGAACTATCAGCAGAGTCTCCAACTTTAACAGGTAGAGTTTATGACTTTTCTTCTGTAGAAAGATAAATTGGAGAAATGATATCAAGAGGTTATAACATTTGCAGGCAGTTCTAAGTGTCTGGTTGCCTCAGAAAACTCATCACCTGTTAACCATAAGGAGTCTTTGACTGAAACTACTTCTAAATATCACATGGAATCAGTGTCGGATCAAGGTCTTCCAGAGAAGAATTTGGTCCTTGGTTCAGATGTGAACTCTTGCTGCGATGAATCAAAATGTCAAAGTGAAGGGAAAATTACAAACATAAATACATGCACCGCTGGCTCACAAGATATGTCTCAGATTTCAGGTCCAGATGGAAAATCCATGCCTACTCCGCTAAGCCAAATTGGATTCCGAGATCCTGCAAGTGTCGGTGCTGGGCAGCAGCTTACATTGTTAAGCTTGGAGGTATCAGTCCCGACATCTTTTTTGTTGCAGTATTTCTTATTGATGCTTGAAAGTTGCATATCTTTACTTACTGAAATAAAATAATTGATTATGATTTCTTGGTTAGCAATTTTTTTGAGGTTGATCTCTGTAGGACTGCAATGCTTTCTGACAGGTTCACACAGAATCTAGAGGAGATCTCCGGCCTGATCCCGATTTGATGCTGTCAATGTCATAGCTCTTGCAATTCAGAATGACTATGATTATGTGACTGAAGTTTATGTGCTTTTGTATAGCAACGCTGGATTATGTCAGAGGTTTGCTAGTTTGTGATTTAATTGCACGTTGATTGGTTAATTCTGTATCCTTTGATGTTATATAGTTTGTTTCTGCATGTCATTTTTCTGACTGCCAGAGGTCTTCCACGGAATCTGCTCTCAACCTGGCGTTGGGGTCAGCCTACTACCCTACCTCCCCCTTACCCCAATGCATATGGGAATAGGGTTTTGTTGTTGTTGTTGTTGTTTCTGCATGTCATTTTCTTTTTTGATAAGAATGCACGTCATTTTCTTGTTTTATTGAAAAGGTTTATTGAGCTACTAACGATGCCAACATATGTTTCGCCAAAAACTTTTTGTTCTATTTTATTCACATAACAGTTTTCTGTCCTTTTAACTTTTCACTCATCTTGATTTTATTGCAGTCGTGATGGGATATCTGGGTTTAAAGTGTTTATTTTCGATGAGGAGAAACACTTATTTGGTCAGTTTATGGACATTTTATGTTCTCTTGATCCTGATATTTTAATGGGTTGGGATATACAAGGTTGTTCTCTTGGTTTTCTAGCTGAAAGAGCTTCATATCTAGGCATAAGATTGCTGAATAAAATATCAAGGACACCATCTGAAACCAAGATAAAAGCTGAAGAAATTAACACTTCTGAAAAGGGTTTAGAAGATGAATTGCTTCTTCACCCATTGGTTGCTGATATTGTTGTGACTGAAGATGCAATAATAGAGGATGAATGGGGCCGAACTCATGCAAGTGGTGTCCATGTTGGTGGTAGAATTGTCCTTAATGTCTGGCGGTTAATGCGTAGTGAAGTTACTCTTAATATGTATACAGCTGAAGCTGTAGCTGAATCTGTTTTGAGGCGAAAAATTCCAGCAATCCCTTGTAAAGTATTGAAAAATGGTATTCAAGTGGTCGTGCACAAGCAAGGTACAGATGTGTCCAATATGTGGTTGAAAGGGCAAAGTTGAATTTGGAGATAATGAATCAACTTGATATGGTATGATAATGCACACTTCTCTTGAATTCTTCATGCGGAATGGTAGTTGGGACAATGTATTGTCTCCAATAACTATTAGCATTTTCTTTGTCAAGAAATGATTATTATTCTTTTGATTGTTCTTATTTATCCATATCAGCGTTGTCTTTGATCTATTGTGCCTGTTATCTATGGTGAATCTATGGAGATAAGTCAAATCTCCTTCCATGGTTTTCCAGTTCATCCTGGTTACATTGTGATCGTATTGACTTTTACAGATAAATCGAACATCAGAACTTGCTCGTGTTTTTGGTATCGATTTCTTTTCTGTTCTTTCTAGAGGTTCACAGTTTCGTGTTGAATCCATGTTTCTGAGGTTGGCACATACGCAGAATTATCTTGCTATTTCTCCTGGAAACCAACAGGTTAGTGCTTCTCATTTTTCCCTTCTCTTGCGTGAATTTTAGACCACAATATAACATTGCCCGTGCTTCTTCATATTTCTCTTTGTAACCACTTATACTCCCATTTTGTAACATTAAATGTTGAGATTGATTATTGTTATGGTCCCTAGTTGTGGATCGAGTCACCAGATGATTGATTGGTAAATGGCTCGACTTGAAGGGGTTTCCCCCCCTTGATTCTTGTTTCTTCCTCGTGTACCTATGATGAAAAAGGAGATGAAACTTGTCAAATGGAGTTTTGAACCTTAGACTCGTTTAGAGACATAAACCTCTTTAAGAATTTAATAATCTGACTTGAATTTTATTGATGCATATCATCCCCTTTAAATAGAGGTTACATACCATGTTGAAATAAAAGTCTACCAAACAAGCAATCCAACTAAGGAAAATCTCCTAAGAATATAAGATATTAATAAATAAAATCTCCTAAACTTACAAATAATAAGTTTCACAATAAAGTGATAATAATAAAATATAATATTCTCTTTTTCCTAAAACATTTGTTCCCTAATAATAAAATACCCTTCCCTACTAAGCAACATAACAAATATTGATTTAGTTTTTCTCTTATACAGGTTGCTCATCAACCAGCAATGGAGTGTTTGCCTCTTGTGATGGAACCTGAATCCGGCTTCTATGCTGATCCAGTTGTTGTGTTGGACTTTCAGTCTCTTTATCCATCCATGATAATTGCTTACAACCTTTGCTTTTGCACATGCCTTGGAAAAATTGCAAATTCTGAAGTAAATACTCTTGGGGTTAATTCATATGCACCAGATCCAAATGTTTTGCGGGATTTGAAAGACCAATTGCTGCTTACTCCAAATGGTGTTATGTATGTCCCTTCAAAGGTAATTATCATTTCTTCTATATGAAATTTATTATATTTTGGATTTTTTCCTCATCTTTTGTTTAGGAAAATAAAGGGGGGAATAAAGAGATAAAAGAGAAAAGGATTCTGCAATCCTGTAATTCCCACTTTTGTTTTTCTGTAGGTACGCAAAGGAGTTCTGCCTCGCTTATTGGAGGAAATATTATCAACCAGAATAATGGTGAAACAAGCAATGAAGAATTTGACTCCTACACAGCAAGTTCTTCAGAGGGTATCTTTGTTACTGATAATATGTCTTCATATTTTACTCTTAAAGTAGGATCAGAATAATTACATTACTCATATTCTTGGGATTCAAGCTGCCAATTATCTGATTCATTGTCTTTCTTAGCCCATTAATAAATGTGATAGGTTACTGTCTTTTATGTATTTTCAGATATTCAATGCGAGACAGCTTGCTTTGAAGCTGATAGCAAATGTGACATACGGTTATACTGCTGCTGGTTTTAGTGGTCGCATGCCTTGTGCTGAGCTTGCAGACAGTATTGTTCAATGTGGTCGTAGCACGCTTGAAAAAGCTATTTCCTATGTAAATGCACATGAAAAGTGGAAGGCTAATGTTATATATGGTGATACTGACAGGTATGTAGTCAGACCTGTTACTGCAGTAGGATTGAAATGTAAGTCAAAAAGGTTTGTGATGCATGTCGTGTTACAATGGTTTATGAAGAATAATTCCAGAGCCGGTTCATAATCTTTGATTTCTTTTATCGTGCATAGGGAAGATGATACTAGATGTTGTAATACCTCATGCATTTAGGGAAAGGTGAGATTAAGGGACTTAAATTTTTTGCAGCATGTTTGTCCTCCTTGAGGGACGCAACGTTGAGGAATCATTCAAAATAGGGCGTGAGATTGCAACTGCAATAACAGCAATGAACCCATATCCAGTTACACTGAAAATGGAGAAAGTCTATCACCCATGTTTTCTTCTTACTAAGAAGCGTTATGTTGGCTATAGTTATGTGAGCTCTGACCAAGCAAAACCTATTTTTGATGCTAAAGGCACTGAGACAGTTCGCAGAGATTCTTGTGGTGCTGTTGCCAAGACACTGGAACAGTCATTGAGACTGTTTTTCGAACATCAAGATATATCAAAGGTATTTAAATTTTCTTATTTTTATCTTTACTTGTCTAAGATGACAATCCACTTGGAAACGCTTGGCCTTAAATAAATTATTTGATAAGTAGCTTTAGTGAGGAACTATCAAGCAAGCAACTAGGCTTTAAGTGCCAGTCTGTTTATTGTGGAGCCAGAACCTCTATATGCACCCCACAATATCAAAATTGCTATGAAGCTATGCCTCGTCACTGTGAATGCCATGATAGGTTTTCTTAAGACGTTGGCAATTCTTTTATCATAGATGATGAAATTTACGTTTGTTGTTTTGTATAGGTTAGAGCATACTTGCATCGTCAATGGACAAGGATTTTGTCCGGTAGGGTTTCTCTTCAAGATTTTGTTTTTGCAAAAGAAGTTCGCTTAGGAACCTACAGTACAAAAGTAGGTTCTGTACCACCAGCAGCAATTGTGGCAACTAAAGCAATGAGAACAGATCCCAGGGCAGAACCACGCTATGCAGAGCGAGTACCCTATGTTGTTATCCATGGGGAGCCTGGGGCTCGCCTGGTTGACATGGTGGTGGATCCATTGGAACTTCTAGCAATTAACTCCCCTTACAGATTAAATGATTTGTATTACATCAACAAACAGATAATCCCAGCATTGCAGAGAGTTTTGGGCTCGTTGGTGCTGACTTGAATAGGTGGTTTTTAGAAATGCCACGCCCAGCTAGGGAAGCTTTCGGTAAATGTGGTGTACATGCTCTAAACCCCCAGCGTATGAGAATTGATCACTATTATCTTTCAAAACACTGTATGCTGTGTGGTGAGTTGGTCCAATTATCAGCCCATCTGTGCAGTAAATGTTCACAAAACGAAACAGCAGCTGCAGCTGCTATAACTGGGAGGACATCAAAACTAGAGGGAGAAATGCAACACCTTGCTGCGGTAAGTAATGTGTCCTCTTTTTAGTCTCATATCATTTGCCTAATTTCCGATATTGAATTAGTCACAATGTCGATGCTTGCATTGCTTTATTGATCTTGTGGCAGATATGTCGACACTGTGGAGGAGGGGACTGGGTTGTGGAGAGTGGGTGAAGTGCAATTCACTCGTGTGCTCGGTTTTCTACGAGAGGCGTAAAGTTCAGAAGGAACTTCAAGGTCTGTCTGCCGTTGCCGCTGATAAAGGTTTCTATCCCAAGTGTATTGTCGAGTGGTTTTAAACGTGGTTCTTCATACTTGAACTCAACAAGGTCAGGCTTCTCTAACATGTTTTAAGGTCTCAAATAGTCGACTCTTTTGCATGTACACAGTAATTGTGTTTTTAAGTTAACGTTATATTTGTAATTATTGTATTTTTTAATCCTCCAATAAAAGTACATCTTTTTTCTTTTTCTGATAATGATACAAGTTCTAGGGTTATCTTATGTTACATTTTAAATTTCATAAACAACTTTGGTAAGTTGTTATGGTACAACACGAATGATATGGTTTGGTTTGTTTGTTTTATTGAAAATGTACTTCGGAAAATAAATTACATACATAAATTATATGTTTTAAAAATAATTTTCAAAATTAATTTACAGGGTTTAGGAGATATATGTAATATGTCTAAACTTGATCATCATTCTCTTCGCTATCTTATCTTAATTATTTTCCTTTTTATTTGGTGTTTTTCTTTGACGCATCTGAAATTATTCAAATCTATCATAAAGATGTTTAAAATAACTCAAACTTTCGTATCCCTATCACATAGTGAGTGATGTCTGAAATACCACAATGTATATATTTCTTTTGAAGATTTTGTTGTTGGAGGTCAACCTTGTAGCTTATATGGCCCTGTAAAAGCTTCAATTTTGGTTCTCTGTGTCAGTGCATTGAAAAACTAATAATCGCACTAATACAACACCTTCAAATTCTTCAAAAACAATTCTTTGCTTTTTGCTGTCATAATATCAACTACGCTTATAATCAGTAAGATTAGTCACCGTAATATAGATTTTTAAATTTCAATATTAAAAAGAGAAACTTATTCAAACCTTAGTACCCTTTATTTTTCTTCCTCTTTCCAGCAGTGCTTTATTCATTTGAACCCTTCAAATATGGTTATCTATTTCGCGTTAATTAACGATTCAGCTTTGATTTTTCCCTGTTTTATGTTGTTAGTAATTATCTTTAGCTGATCAAGACTAATACATCTTAGTTAAACACAATGATTCTTTATTCTCATTTTTTAGGCTTCGTGAGGTGCGAGTTTTGTGTATTGATGTTTAAAATTTGCTGGGAATCGTTATTTGATAGACAAAAGCTTGGGGCAATATTTTCCTTTAGACTATAACAAGGCATAAAAAAAAATGACTCTCTCTTGTTCTAATAGGATAAGGAAAAATAAGATAATAGGTTGCCCCCAACACTAGGTTAAGAGCAACTTTCGTAGGAGACCTCTAAATTATGAAATGCCTTCCATGGGACTCGAGATCCCATGACCTCAAAGTTAAGAACCTTGTACTCTATCAACTGAGCTGAATGGTCACTTATAACCAGGCATAAAACATGCACCTAAATCCCCTTTGAGCATAAACATCAAACTACGTGTTAACTCCATAACAAATTATTGTCAAGTATGTTTCTCAAGAGTTAGTTTTCACCATGGAATGAAGCACAATCTGTATTCGAGCTTCCTATAACTGTACTATAAGCCCGGGCATCAGCCAGCGAGAAGGACCGCCAATTAGAGGGATTCCGGCCATTCAAAGACGATGGTGGTGACGATGGGGTATTGTTTTTATTGAAAGATGTTTGGGTTTGTGGGTGCAAGGGAGGAAGTCGAGGGCTCGATGCTGAAGTGGAGTCGTCACTTGTACCGGAGATGCTTTCGGAGCTACTTATTGCAACGGCTAGAGCCAATGTGCTTGTGCTCGATCTGATCGGTTTTATTGTTCCTGCTTTTGTCCCATAAGTGGTTGATTGCTAAAAGATTTCTCCTCCTCCTTGTATAAGCGTTTTCAGGCTTTGCCATTTCTTTAATGGACGTTGCTGAGGAAGCATCGGCTAAACTTGTGAATGACTTGGATTTGCCACTGTAGAAACTCGAGATGCCTCTTCTGTAATACCCAGATTGACCATTACAATTAATATCTATTATGTGAACCTTGTTCTCAGTCTATTTTTTTCTATTTAAAAACGTAAGGATTCCAATTTTCAATCTTAATTAAAGGATTGAACTCATCATCCTTTTTATGAACCGATAGTTAATAATTTTTCATTGTTTTATAATTAAGAACTGTAATTTATAACTTCAAAGTATTTAAAAGGTTTAAATTAAAATTTTCATTCGAAACTCTAATCCATCTTACTTATAATCTCACTCATTTTCTTTTTCGTGAAATTCAATAATTATGACAAATTATTACTATCCGATCCAGTTCCAATTTTTTTCACTAATTGATATGACACAGATCTACACCATTACTCAAAAAAAAACAATTGCTTTTTTTGATTAAAAAATGGAGAGGAGATGCGAACGAACCTCATCGGCAAAACCTGTTGGAGCGAATCCATCATGTTCAAACTACATTTGTAATGGCTTTGAACCTCATTTTCGTCGCAATCTCCACCGTCCGATGATCTTCCGGACACCTCATCACTGTTCCTCCCGATCGAAGACGAGGTCGTCGTAGACGAAGAACTCCTCCAATCATCTTCCGCCTCCTCTTTCCTTTCTTTCAGCGGCGTGGATTCATCATATCTGAAAGTAACACTGGCGCACTCCATCACCGTTGCCGAATGCAACCGGCATAAAATCCCTTCTTGTGCAGAGTACCTTTGGCTACTCAAAAAATCAGTGAAAACAAAGAGAAAACGAATGATCCCAGAAATATTTCTTCCTTAAAACACAACAAAACTACCGAAGCCACCGAAAAAGAAACAAAATATAATAAATGAAAGAGAGAATGGAAACAAGAGCAGATATGAAGGCTTTATATGTCATTTTCTTTGGATATTTCTTTGTTATTTATTATTTAAATAAAAATATATTTGATTATTGAATTGTCTTTATAAAACAGTCACAAAAATAAATTTGTAAGATATATTTATAAATTATTACAATTTTATGTATTTATAAATAATTAAATTGAGTTGCTCTATTTAATAATAATTTATGAATTAAAATATAAAAAATACTTAACAAAACTTTATTTTTAAAGAAAAAAAAAGTACAATTGGATAAGGTATTTGGTGAGGAAAGTAATTAAGAGAAGAAACCCCAGGCCCACCAAAATAATAATAAGAAATGGGTGGATTATTGGTGAAGTGAAAGGCCACGTGGAGGAGGATGACGACACCTTGAAGAGGTGTCCCCGTACTATGGTCGGAGAAGGATGTCTATCGAAGACCTGCTTCTTCCCATGTGTACCACGCTCTCTGTCTCACCCTTATCCACAATTCCTGGGTGGGACCTATTACTTTTTTACTAATATAGATTTAATTATACGATAATTGTGAAATTTTGAAGGATAATAATTACCTTAATCATCGACGTTACTTGATTTGTTTCACTTATTGTAGACACACTTTTTTGACCGGAACATACATATATACATATTATATATATTATATATGTAATATTATTATTTATTACTGAATATATATATTTTGACATTTACAGGCTCAATACATCAACATCCCAGCAGTCCGTTTGGCAGACCCAAATTCACGTGGGCGGCCCAGCAACAGCTTCCAAGCTTAACCCGTGCAGACTCAGGGTTGCCAGAAACCCTAACCCCACCTCGTCCAAGCCAGCGCCGCAAGCTTCCTTCGCCTAAGATAACGCCTCCCTCATTTCACGGAGCCAACATCAACAACACCAATGAACGTGTTTTAGTAGGATTCCATCACCAACAAACAAAAGGAGTAGAGTTTGATTAGGACACAAAGATGTCATTTTTTTGTGTATAAATATCAGACGATGTAGGCATTACAGGGAGAGGGAAAAAAAGCAAAAAAGGAATCACACGAAAATCTCAGAGAAAATAGCAAGAAACATTTGTATTTTTTGAGAAGGATTTTTTTTTTCCAGAAGATAATACCAGAGAGCCTTAGACAAAAAAAACTCAAAAATCCACGAAGCAAACCAGAGTTCTTGTAATCGTTCGAAAGGAAATAAAAAGGTAGCAGTGTTTTTACCTTTGTCCATCCGTTTTTGTTGCCTTTGCATGTTGATTTCTAGACCTTGTACTGTGTTTTGATTCGAAAGACGACCAAGAAAAAAGAAAAACGTTTTCAGCCGATGAACGAGGAGAGAGTTTCAAAACTTTGAAGCTAGATCTACTCCCTGAGGCTCGTCATTTGTTGGATTTTTTTTTATTTTTGAGAAGTGTGGATAAGGGGCTTTCGAACTGTAAAAAATAAGTTTTTTTGCCGCCGATGAACGGCGGCCGTCGCCGTCCAACGGCGGCGGCGAGGCGGCGCTCGGAGGCCAAAGGCCGGATTCTGGAAAACTTGGCCCATGTTCTTCATGGCTGAAGAACAATGGCGATATAGAAAGGAGAGAAGGAGACAAGGGTTTTTTTTTTTTTGATTTCTGAAGGAAGGAATGAAACTGAAATTGGTTTTTTTTTTGAGTCATATATTAAGCCCATTCGACCCACGTGGACCATGACCGGATCCACGTGCTTTCACGCAAAATGGGAGCAATCTCAGTTTTAGTCCTTTTATTTTAAATCCTTCCATTTTCATCCCCAAACTGAATTTAAACCATCCGCGTGTTTCTATCTAAAATAGGGTAAACTACCCTTTTGATCCCTGTTACCTCGAAAAGAGCCGTTTTCCCCCCCTCAAATCGAAATTAACCCTTCATATTGCTTTGGAATTTTGACCTCTAGCCTGCAGTTCTTTCATTTTAATCCTTTCTCTGGATTTTAATTTTAATTATCTTTCTATATTACATTATAATATTTGTATATATTTTATATCCTTATTAGTTTTTTTTTATACACTCGTATATATGTATTATTAGAATAGTATTATTTCACTTATATGTTATATTATATATATATGTATATATGTACACATTTTGTATTTTACCCTATTTGTTTACTTCTTTATTATTATATTTATTTACATTAGTTTTAATTATCTTTTTATATTACATTATAATATTTATATATATTTTATACTATTATTAGTTTTTTATACATTCGTATACATTTATTATTAGTATAGTATTATTTCATTTATGTGTTATATTATATATATATATATATATATGTATATATGTACACATTTTGTATTTTACCCTATTTTTTTACTTCTTTATTATTATATTATTTACATTATTTATTTTTTTCTATTATTATTATATTTTTTCCTCCCTCTTATATTTAGCTATT